CACATACTTTACTCATATTTTATTATAAGTTTTTAAATTTTTTTTATATTTTAAATTTTTAAATTTTTATTTTTTGATATTCTAAATTTCTAAACGAACAGGATGAACGAAGTATAAAGATATTAGATAAATATAAAATATTAAAAAATAAAAATATAAGGATAAAAAATATTAAAAAATATAAGAACTTATAACAAAATACAAACAAAATGCAAAAATTAACAGTTGTATGTATATATATATATATATATTAGTTTGTTGCGTACGTGCTTGTCATTTTGGTTTTTCATGAAAAGACACATTTGCCTCCATCCTCACCGTGGCATCAATTGCTAGGCAAAGTCGGAGTTCATAGGAGGGTCTGCCAAAAATGAGTACATGTGATCAGTGAACTCATTGCAGTGGGAGAATCCCACCGTGCGTGCTCTGGATAGGGTAATAACATTACAACAAAAAAGGCCCAAGAATTAAACACATGCAATCTAATTTTTATGAGAACGGCAAGTTAAAGGAATTAAAATAGGAGCTGCAAGATAAAGGAGAAAAATGCATCAAAGTTTTGTTTTGCAGATATATACAATAGAATTGGGTAATGATCGAGTTGATCTTCACAGTACTTGAAAGAGAAAGATAAAGGAAGGAGAAGAATACACGGAAGGGTGCCTCGACCATGCGGTGATGAAGGAAGAGGCGAAGAGTTGTAGGAATAACAGTGAAAGCTTAGGCCAAATTATTGACAGCTATCTATTTCACGATAGCTTCCACGTTTGGACAAGAGAGAGAAAGTCATGGTGAGGATGGAAGAGGCAATGGGGGCAAATATGTCTTTTCACAAAAAACCAAAAATGCCAACAAAGTATTGAGATATTAAAAAATAATTACCACACTTTACGATGCCTGTTTATTACTTGTAAATTTTGTGAATATTTTATTATCATTTTTTGAATGAAATAAAATTTTAATTTTACCCACATTAAATATGTACTCTCTTTAATTTTATTTATAGAATAGGGAAAATAATTTTTTTATCATATTTATGAGTCACATTATTAAATTTTTATCATAAATTTTTTTCTTTTACTCTCTATTAAATATTAAAGAGAGAAAATATGTTATTGAAGTGTGTATTTTCAATAGAGACATAGTTAAAAATTTATTAAATTTTAAGACATAATTAATGAGTTTTAAATTTTTTTGACACTGGTAAAACATATTAAAAATAACTTATAAATAGGATAAGAGAAGTATATAATAGCAATATCTTCCTCTCACTAATATCTTATAAAAATAAAAGAGAAAACATGCGATAAAAAATAAAAAGAATAACAATAAAGTTCTAAAAGGGATACTCCCTCCATTTAAAAATTAAAAGTATTTTTAATCGAATCTCACCCCTCAATAAAATAGTTACATACTTTCAAACTAACCTTATTTTTTTATATTTACCTTTATCAAATACTTTATAATAAATAAAAAGTCATTATCAATAGAGGCACTTTTGAAAAAAAATAATTATTACACCTCAAAAGATTAAAAATGTCTTATATTTGTTAACACCAAACTTTTCAAAAAATGCTTTACATTTTTGAATGAAGGAAGTAATTTATAACAATTATGTTTGTAAAAAAATTTTCTAAAAAAATAAAATATTAATATTAATTTAAATATTTGTGTTCAAGAAATTCAATTATAGATTGAGAATTATGTTTATAATTTAAATTTACAAATTATAATTCTTGAATTTACAGATATTTGAATCGATATTTAGAAGTTATTTTTGAAACAAAAATTATCAAAAACCTAACTATTATTAATTTTGTCTCAAAGCTTATACATCATCCTTTCGAAAATTAATAACGTGTTTTATAAGTAAAAAAATTCTTCTATCTTTACAATATAAAAAGAATTAGAGAAGCGTATGAAAATATAAGGAAAAAAATTAATAAAAACCCTTGGACCATACTCATTTAAATTTAAAATTCATAAATTTTTAAATTTTACTATAATTTAAGGATATTGATTTAATATTAAATTTTTGAGAGAAATAACAAAATTGCCTCTCATTTAAATTTATATCATAATTTTCTCACTTCACTTATTAATTCACTTGTGAAATATTGTTCATTGCTCTACCTAACTTGTTTTCATTCTCGGTGTTTAAATTATCATAAGGCAACTTGTTGGTTTCCTATATTACATATTATTTACGGATTGCTATTCATTGACCCATTTCACTTGTTTATTGTTAAATTTTTACTTAATTTTATTTCAGAAAAATGAACAAATAAAATAGAGCAATCAACAATATTGTATAAGTAAATAGATAAGCAAAGCAGGGTAGTTATAGTATTAATTTAAATGAAAGCTAATTTTATCATTTAAAAAAATTAATATCAAATTAATATTTTTGGAATGTAGTAAAATTTTATAAATTTAAAAATTTTAAATTTAAATAAGTATGAATTAAAAGTCTTTATTAAAATTTTTCCTAAATATAACAAAGCCAAATTAAATTTACTCCTTTACCTTTCTGAACTTCAGAAAAGTTACTGTAATCCTTTTCCCTCTGAAAGTACTGCTTGACTGTGGTTTGTTGTTCGCTGGTTTGTTTCTGCAAGGTTTAGGTCCTCTTGTCTCTCTCTTTTGTCCGGATCTACTGGGCTTTGCCCATACCCTGGTGGCTTTGTTATTGACGTATGCCTGTGGGCCTATCCATGGCTTTATCTTTTCATTTAGTTTTCCCAAAAAAATAAAATCCAAACGTGACCGGCAAACATTAGGTCTAACAGGAGCAGGGTTAATTTTTCATAATATAATAAATTAAAATTTAAATTCTGATTGAGAGAGGTTGACACATTTAATATTTAGTTATATCTTAAATAATATTTTTTTAATAAAAAGATGCAATAAACATTAAAAAAATCCACAAATGAACAAAGATATTTTCTAATGATGCAAGCTCTATAAATAAAAAAGCATAAAATCAAACTCTCAATTAGTACATGGTTAGCAGATGAGAATCCCTATCATTCATGTCAAATTGAGTTGGTGGAGTATGTTAAACTTCCACCGTACAAATAATTAGGAGAGGATTTTGAATGTTTAATGTAGTTTAGAGCGATACTTATCTAATGCAACACGTCAAGACCAGATTAGCAAGAGAATCAAGTAATATTTGTCAAACGAGCTACATGTTTGATAACAAATTCCAAAATAAAATAATCTGTGATTTATTCATCTATTCTAATAACACAAAAAAAAAAAATCCTATGAATCACACAAATGGATAAAAAATATAGTCATTCATGATTTCACTGTCAGAGTTTTTTTTCTTGCAATTATTTATATGATTCTATTTCATATTTTTGTGCATCATTAGTTTTTTTTTATAAAACTATTAATAAAAAGACCAATCTTCATATTGATCTAACTTCTAATATCAAATTAATATTTACTTATAATTTAAATATTTTTAATTTTTATTATATGTTTAACCCAAGAGAATGAAAAAAAGTGATAAAAGATTTTAGGGTTGGGATTCATTTTTATTCCTAAATTTTTTAATGAACGTTGGATTAATAACTGTGCAACTTTCATCATAAACATTTCTTTTAAGGAGTAACAAATTCTTTTGTTAATTGTCCATTAACTTTTTCATTTTATGCTAATACAATATGTGCATAGAGCCATGCATATTGACAAAGTGACATGTAGAATTTTGACAATGTCTTTTAATATTAATTTGTCTTTGTTGAATTTTTTTTATGACAGTTGGACATCATGAGATTTTGTTAAAATAAAATTTAATAAATATTATTAAAAAATTTTAAATTATTGTTAAAAAATTAACAGTTTAAATTATTTTTAAAAAAATTCATAGATCACTTTGTAAATTGTATGTAAAGATTTATAAATAATAATAATAATATTTATAAATAAATTATAGAAACTAATCTTATAAAAGTAAAATTTTTTAGGTGATTGTTAATTTTTTTGTTCAACTAACTTATTTTTTTAAAAATAAAATTATTAAAATTTCTCGTCCCATCAAATTAAACAGCCATAATCGCCCCACTTAATACACCACGTAAATCTTGTAGTAGACAGTGACACGTATATAATGATTTTCCTTTTAGAACCTATCGTCTTGCTTCACGGCGCTTTCGGCCTTCATTTGAAAGCAGCTCATCAAGACTTCTTTTCCATCACTATTATTACCAATTATTTCTCCCATGTCAGATTATAAAATAATTTTTAAAAATTTTATTCTCTTAAAATATAAACTAATTAAAAAATAATAATTTTTTATTAATTATATTGTTTTAATTTTACTTTTTTAATGAAGAGCGATATAAGAAGGTCTATAATTTTAAACTTATTTTTAATACTTCATTTTTTAAAAATATAAAGATATTTTTTAATGAGTTAAATGTTTAAAAATGTAAGATATTTTTGATCTTTCTAAGTATAATTATTGTTTTTTTTTATAAGTGTCTATATTGATAATAACTTTATATTTATTGCAGGGTGTTTAATATGAGTAAATATAAAAAGATATGATTAATTGAAAAGTAGGTAACTACTTTATTGAAGAATGAGATTCGATTAAAAATGCCTTCTATTTTTGAACGGAGGAAGTATGATATTTTTTTAAAAATTTTTAAAAATTATACAATGTTGTTCATATCATTAACTTTAATAATTAGTTAATTAAAAAATAAATAAGAAATTTTTAAATTATCTTAGCCCTTTAATAACCTTCTTTTCATTAATTAATATTTAAAATTAAATTTTATTTAACAATAAGAATGATATTGCACTGTTTATATTTTTAATAGTTGAAGCAAATATTGCATAAAGAAACGAGTTTAGATTGCATACGGTTTGAGGGTTAACTTGGGATTTAACTTTTTTGATATTTTTCTTGCCAAATAATTAATTATTATTTATTATTAAACAGAAAAATCTACCTTCTATTTCATACTTCATCATTGGTCATTCGAACCGCAGCTTTCTCAGAAAAGGTTTCTCTGTTAAAGTGGGAAAATATCCTCAGCACAAGGGCCTGACGCTGTTTGAAATTTGAATGGATTCTGGTGCAGACACTTGGCTTCTCTCCTCCGATATAGTAAACGGCGTCGTTGACTACAGAGGCCAACCGGTGGTCAGATCAAAGTCCGGCAAATGGAAATCCGCTTGGTTCATCATAGGTGCTTTCACAATCAATCTCTCTTTCTTCCTCGTTCGTTTATTTCGTTGATTAATTTATTTATGTCTATATTAGTGTTTTTTTGGGATGAAAAGGTGTGGAAGTTGGGGAGAGATTTGCGTACTATGGAATATTATCGAACCTCATCACCTACTTGACCGGTCCTCTCCATCAAAGCACTGCCTCAGCTGCTGAGACCGTCAACGTTTGGGTCGGAACGATGTCGTTGCTCCCTCTCCTCGGAGCCTTTATTGCTGACTCTTGTCTCGGTCGCTACCGCACTATCATCATCGCTTCCATTCTGTACACTTTGGTACCTCAACTTTCCCTTTGTCCCTGTTACTCATTGAAACCATGTTCTTTTTTACTTTGGATTTACTACTAATTTAACATTCCTCTTGTGTAATTGGACAAATGAACTTTATATATTGATAATTACAAAGGAAAATGATAATAAAATTTTGTTGAAATATATAAATAATAATTAAATTCCTCGAAATGTCATAATTTTTAAAAAAATCCTCAAATATATTCCTAACATTAATAATTTCAAGTTAAATTCCTAAATTACCTCTTATTTAAAATAAAAAAAAACAACAACCGGTTTATGTAAAAAGTTATGATTGTTTATTTAATTTTTGCAATTCACAAAATAAAAGTTGTAATTGCTTAAATAAAAGTTGTAATTGTTTATTTAAATAAAGATAAAATTCAAAATGAGCACGTACGCGAAAAAGTGAGGGTGGCACCTATTGAGGAAAAAATGGTAGAAAATTGGTTGAAATAGTTTGGGCATGTACAAAAAAGACCAAGGGAGGCACCAGTGAGAAGAGTGGAACATATAACTTTGAGTCCGATTAAGAGAGGTAGAGGAAGGCCTAAGAGAACACTCTTGAAAGTTGTTGAGCGCGATCTTTTAATCAATAATATTCCTAAAAGCTTGATAAATGATAGAGCACAATGGCGTCTTGCAATCCATGTAGCCGACCCCACCTAAGTGGGATAAAGGCTTCTTGTTGTTGTTGTTGTTGTTGATTATTTTTGAAACTTGGATTTCAATGATAAAAGAAATTTTATGTGAAAAGTTGTAATTTCTTATTCATTTTTTATGATTCACTGAATAAAAATTGTGATTCCTTAAATAAAAGTTGTGATTGATTATTTTTAAAATTTAGACTTTAATAATAAAAGAATTTTCACTTGACAAGTTATGATTTCTTGTTCAATTTTTGCGATTCACAAAATCAAAGTTTTGATTGTTTGAACAAAAGTTATAATTGGGACTGATTATTTTTAGATTTTGTTTATCAATCATAAAAGAAATTTGACGTGGGAAGAAGTTGTGATTTTTTGTGATTCACGGAACAAAAGTTGGTATTGCTTAAACAAAAGTTATTTTAAACAAGGGTAATTTAGTTATTTAACTTAAGATCATTAATGCCAGTGATGTAGTAAGAGACTTTAGAAGAATTATGACATTTCAAGGGACTTGATTGTCATTTACATATTTCAGTAGGATTTTATTATCACTTTCCCCAATTAGAAAGTATAAACTCTGGTTTACGTGAATTACAGGGGCTGGGGTTATTGGCATTGTCAGTTATGCTTCCTTCTATGACCAATTCTGAATCAGATTCTTCTCAAATGCAAGTGACATTGTTCTTTATTGCGCTTTACCTAGTAAACATTGGACAAGGAGGACATAAGCCTTGTGTTCAAGCTTTCGGGGCTGATCAATTTGATGAACACCATCCTGAAGAACGCGGAGCCAGAAGCTCGTTCTTTACTTGGTGGTATTGCACCATGTGTGCAGGCATCTTGGTCGCTCTTTTAACCTTGAACTATATACAGGAAAACATTAGTTGGGTCCTAGGATTTGGAATCCCTTGTCTTGCAATGATCATTGCATTGATTGTTTTCTTGCTTGGAACTAAGACTTACAGGTTTACCGTTGAAGGGCATGACAAGAGTCCCTTTCTGAGAATTGGCCGTGTTTTTGCTGCAGCCTTAAGAAATCGGCGAAAATCTTTGTCAGATGTTGTGATTGATGAGGAATCTTGTGCTCACAAAGCTCATCGATGTTCTAAGCAATTTATGTAAGAAAATTAGCCGGTTTCTGTATGTTTCCAGAACCTTGTCATAGTGAATCCTAGTATTACAGCAGCAGCAATGTTGGGACCTATTTGAACCAATCTTTGAATCAGTTTGGGAATTTAACTAGACTCTGATTGCAACGTTGGAACCTTTTTCCTCTTGATTCTGCTTGAGCAGAGCATCTTCTTTGCCGTATCCTTCTGACAGAGCTATCAAAGAGAAAGCTTTTGAAAACCTACCTCATCAAAATTCTGAACAATTTAGATACGGCGAAGAGTTACTTTCTACATGTTTCTGAAAAGTGAAAACTCAGTAATTTTGGTAGCATTTTTTAAGGAACAATGTAGAACGTAGCCCAGTGCTTGATAATGCTTCCTTTGACTGAGTGGTAGAAAGTTCTTTAATGTATATTCTTTGGATTGGTGAGTCATAAAGACTTCCTTGACTATATTAACATTCATTTATTTATATTTTGCTCTTTACTATGGCAGATTTCTCCACAAAGCATTGCTTGGACCAGCTGAAGAAGCTTGTAGCCTCAACGAGGTAGAAGAAGCAAAGGCCATACTTAGGCTTATCCCAATTTGGGCTACAAGTTTAATCTTTGGCATTGTCTTTGCTCAAGTTCCTACTTTCTTCACCAAGCAAGGGGCTACTATGAACAGAACCATATTTACAGGCTTCGATATACCTGCCGCTACTCTCCAATCTCTTGTCTACATGGGCATTGTTGTTTTTAGTCCCATTTATGACCGCATATTCGTGCCATTCGCAAAATCCATCACTAGAAAACCTTCAGGCATCACGATGCTGCAAAGAATTGGAGCTGGGATATTTGTCTCCTTAATTACAGTAGTACTAGCTGCTCTTGTTGAGGCAAAAAGGCTAGCAACAGCAAAAGAGTATGGTCTTGTTGATGAGCCGAACACAACAGTTCCAATGAGTGTGTCATGGTTGATTCCTCAGTACTTGTTGTTTGGAATAGCCGAGGTTTTCACCATGGTTGGTCTTCAAGAATTCTTCTATGATCAGGTTCCGAATGAACTAAGAAGCATGGGCCTTGCTCTCTACTTGAGTATATTTGGTGTGGGAAACTTCTTGAGCAGTTTTCTGATCTCTGTGATAGAGCAAGTAACAGGTAAAGGTGGGCAAAGTAGTAGTTGGTTTGCTAATAATCTCAACCAGGCACATCTTGATTACTTTTACTGGTTACTTGCTGTGCTTAGCATGATGGGATTATCTTTATTCATTCTCTCTGCGAAATCTTACATATATTTTGAGAAAGGAAGGACCTCGGGACAAGGATAGTTTTTTTTTCTTTCTTTTGTCATTTTAGGATGTAGATAGAGTGATAGACAAAAGTAATATGTTAAGGCGTGTACATTATTGTATAGAACTGAAGCTTCAGGAACATGGAAAATGCTTTGTTTCTAATTACGCCAATTCTTTTAGTTTTTATATTGATAATTTTAATAACAGTTCAAATTTAAATTTTTAATATGTATGTTTTGTTGTTCAACATTAGATGCTGGGTTAAAGATGAAATTAAATGAATTGAAGTATTCTTGGTTTATGGGTACATCAGTTTGTTAGATTTTTATATTTTTATAGTAGGACATTATTATAGTACACAGATATTATTTTAAATAATATTTATTTTTTTAAAAAATATTTATAGCTAACTTCTGTGTATGTCAATGCAGAGTAAAAACCCAGTAATGGAAAATATAAGATTGTACAAATGTTCAAGGAGGCTTCTATGGTTAGACATTAAACAAGAGATTTTCGTAAAATATTTTGAATCGAAAAGGAAAAATGATATCATAAATTAAAATAAATAAATTAAATATATACTTTTGCTCATCATGCAACCCCGAGGTGGCGTATAAACATATTTATAGAGCAGCAAACAACTTGGATGGTAAAATTTACTCATAGTATTAATATTAACATGAAGTCTGTAATTTTAAAGAATTCTACTTAAAATAATAGGATTGGTCCTTCTTAATGCAAATTCCATCCCCTTCGTGTCAAAAAAATAAAGAAAAAAATAATAGAGAAAGGCGAGGGTCATGAACCGAGAATGATGAGCATGTTAGCGTTACATCGGGGCGAGTAGAATGACATGTCTGTCACACTGATTCCTCTGTCAAGGAAACCAATCCCGAGGCACGTGTCTCTTGCATTACTTTCATAATTATAATAATCGCCACATTATATAATTTATTTTGGTTTTCATGTAAATAGTACTAGTATAAAATTAAAAAAACGCAAATTTATTTTATCCTGAAAATTGGCAAGAAGAGTTTTTCAAAGGGAGAATACAAAAAAATCATCCCAAAATATGGGAATAATGATGAAATCCCATAATTCTTTTCGAATTTTTATAGATCTTCGTTATGTTCATGTCATTTGTGAAATGATAATAATGTCTCTAATTTAAAATATAAAAAGAAGTACAGTGAATATTTTAATTTGAATAATGATTATTTCTCTTATGACAACAGCTAAAACGGGATAACAATGATAAGATCTATTCTCAAATTTTTTAATAAGTGAAATTCAATAATTGTAAATGTAGATAATTACTTTGATTTTAGTGATTGTTACTTTTCTTCTGACAATAACTATAGTGGGATAAATAATTATAATTTTCTCCTGTAAAATTTATAATAATTGAAATTCAAGTATTATAAATATACTTTTTCTGGTTCACTTTATTGATCATCCTCTAGAAAGATAAAGTGGTTTAATTTATAAATTATTGAATTGACAGTGATATTTTATTTCAAATAAAATATCTAAACTATCCTAAAAAAATAAGAGAGATGTATAAAAAATAATATCATATAGTTTATTTACTTTTTTAAGATTGTGTTTGAAATTTTCCTAATGTTTATTTTTTTTATTTTTATTATATTAGCATTGATAAAATTGGTAGAAATAATTTTAAATAAGACCAAAGGGAGTGAGTGATTACTTTGGTATAATTAATGACTAATTTTTTTATAATGACTAAAAATGAATAGTTTCACTTTGCTTGTTTTTCCTCTTAATTTAAATTGGAGGCATTATAATTATTTTACAAAAGGCAATGGACTTGAGAGAAATTATCATATTTCATGGGATTTCATTATTATTTGCATATTTTAAAAAGATCTTTTAATCATTTTTCCTTTTTTTAAAAAATAAAGCATTGCTAATACTTTGCAAATTCTTACAATTTATATTTTGAGTCACAAAACCGAGGTAACTTGTAGTATAATTACAGGAGGAGGTATATATATTAATAATTTAAGAACAATATAACTTGTTATATGTATACTACTTTATATCGAATTAATGAGTTGTGATTAAATACATTATTTAAAAAAAAAACATGATATGCATATATTTTTCCTGGGTTTGTCATCCTATTATGCGTCTCTGAGTTTGTTTTTAATTAGATAGGCTACGAGACACCATTGAATAATTTTTTTCTTAGAAAACAAATTGTATCAAATACTACTTCTCAGCAAAATAAACTTATACCAATGGTAAAGAGCTCTCACAATTTAACTAGTAGTTGGTAGTTTAATTCTTAACGTTTCTATATGAAATAAATCTAATCAAGAACAGTCTAATTTCTACCTTCATACTTTAAAAGATATTAGTTTTCTGAAAATCAAGAGAGATTAGTTTTTGTGGTGACTGGTGAGATAATTTTGGTATTACAAGAAAGATTTGAATAAGTATAGAAAAAACTAGTGTTAGCTTTTTTTTTTTTTTGACCTGCAAAACTTGTGTCAGACTACATGTATGACGTGTATAATAACTTTTTACCAACAATATCGTGTACGATGATCATTGATAATAACTATATCCTTACTTTTAATTATTCTTTTTCTTTCCCTCAGTAGTGAAAGCATATCAGTTTGCACTTGACAAAAATATTAATGAAAGAAAGTATATTATTAATACACACATATATATTTAATAAATATTAATTTAAAAATTTATTAAATTTTTAAATAAAATTATTAAATTTTTTTTTTTTAATTTTAATAAAATATTTTAAAAATAAAAATAATTTATAAATAGTATAAGTGAAATAACATGTTGTATACTCTTGGACCTTAAAATTTCAAAATTCCCTGACAAGAGGCTCGGATCCAATGCTACGCGCTGCTCTTCAGCTAAAAGCCAACAAAACCTCCTCCCCCACGTGCCGCACATTCGCTTTTCTCCTCTGCCCAACCAAGTCACGTGCTTCGCAACTCGCGCCCACTGTTATCTTTCTGTAAGACAGAAGAAACCTTCGGACAGCAATGCAAACGCCACCTCCTTCGATAACCTGCGAAGCACTCACTCAAATCTAAATGCTTAAATAAACCCAAATTCTCCGATCCAAGCCAGATTAGATACCCCCATTCTCTCCATCTTTCGTTATTGTCGGTGGTAATCTTCAGTTGCCCTTAATCTTTTTCAAGGCGTTAGGATCCAGAATTGTCCCAGTTTAGCTCAACAGAAGGGGGCTATGGAGTCGATACTGGCGAGAGCGTTGGAGTACACTCTCAAGTACTGGCTCAAATCCTTCTCTAGAGATCAATTCAAGTTGCAGGGTCGGACGGTGCAGCTCTCGAATCTAGGTGAATTTCGTTGTTGGCATGCTCGATTTGGTTCACTTTCTTGACCGGACTGTGTTGGTTAGGTGTTGATTTTGTTTGCCTGTGCTTGCATTTTCGCCAGATTTAAACGGGGATGCTTTGCATTCAAGTGTTGGATTGCCACCTGCGCTGAATGTTGTGACGGCGAAAGTGGGGAAATTGGAGATCATGGTTAGTAACTAACTTTCTAGACCGATATGATCAACTGGGATTTCTTGATATCTTTTCCGTGCACTATTCGGTTCAGGAGGATAAAATGATAGGCTCTGTTCTCTGTGAAACATAATTTTTTTTGCTCATAAACGCTGCTTTATTCTTACTGCTTCTCAGCAATGAATTTTCTATTTCCAATATCTACAAGATAATTTCTTTATTTGTCTTCCCAATGATTTTCTGGGTTTTGATTAACATGCGTGACCTTTTTTAGCTTCCTTCGGTGAGCAACGTTCAAATAGAACCCATCATTGTTCAAATTGATCGTCTTGATTTGGTTCTTGAGGAGAATGCTAATTTCGATGCATCTGCCAGTCCAAAGTGGTATTGAAACCGTTTCTTGGCCATGATGATGTTCCAGGATTGTCGAGGAGATGCATTTTCCATTGGATAGTAATTTTTTATTGTTTTAATATGGTTATGTGCAGTACCATGGCATCTACTGCCTCCACAAAGGGTAGCGGATATGGTTTTGCCGATAAGGTTTGACTCTATCTTTTCTTAGCTTATTTTGATGCAATTGTTTGTGATTTTCTACTACTTAGCTTGTATGCATCACCACGCGATCTGCTCACTATTTGCCGCTCAGCCTGATACGATCCTGTGGTTTTTAGTTACTCCCAGGACATGCCTATCACTTGTCCATATAGAGACTTTCAATTTGAATGCCACTTATTGCAACTGACTGTGGGCAATCATCAGATTGCAGATGGAATGACTATACAGATTCACACAGTTAACTTGTTACTTGAAACTCGTGGAGGTGTTGGCCGCCAAGGGGGATCAACTTGGTAAACTCCTTTTTCCTCTAATTCAAAATTTGAGTAACTTCTTCAATTTTCAATTTATTTATCTTCCGCTATCACTGTCAAGTGTTGCTATGGGTCTCAAATTCTCAGTAGGCTGGAATTAATATCATCTTCCTGTTTTGTAAAAGTTTAGTCATTATTTAAACTCGTTCTTTTGTGATGGAGTCAAAGTTTATTGGGTGTTTCTGTTTTGTGGAATTGCTCTGAGCATTAACCTGATGAATCATTCATGTATACTTTTTATTTGGCTTGAATGATCGGTCCTAAATTGCCCTGAAATTTACTCATGTGCATCCCCCTTTGCTGACTTTGGTTGTAGGGCACCACCTATGGCATCTATCACCATATGCAATCTTTTGCTCTATACCACAAATGAAGAATGGCAGGTAATTATTTTTGCAAGACTCATGCTTACACTTGTTTCCTGGACTTGACTCAAGATTGGAGTATTTCCCATCTCAGGTTGTAAATCTTAAGGAAGCAAGGGAGTTCTCCAGCAACAAGAAGTATATTTACGTATTCAAAGTACTGTGCTACCTTTCATTAGTTTGAATTTTTGTGTGTGTAACTGGACTGAGATGGCTTTCTTTTCTTCAAATTGCTCTTCTACATCCAGTGATCTGTCTCTCCTTTCCTTTCAGAAGGCTATTGTGTACCATTATCTATAATATATACACTATATTTCTTGATTTTGATTATGCCATGTTGCTTTAGTTTTCCTTTCCTTCTAAATAATAATTCAACATTTTTTCTCTCCAGAAACTTGAATGGGAATCTTTGTCTATTGATCTTTTGCCACATCCTGACATGTTCACGGGTTCTACTTTAGGCCGCTCTCAAGAGGGAGCGAACCAGAGAGATGATGATGGTGCCAAGAGAGTTTTTTTTGGAGGCGAGCGATTCCTAGAAGGAATATCTGGAGAGGCATATGTAATGCATACAATTCCTCTATTTGATGTTTTCACTGTGTTTCATTCTGTAGCATTCTGTGTGACAATATTTCCGAAATTCTATTACTTTTAGATTACAATTCAGAGAACTGAATTAAACAGTCCACTTGGGCTTGAGGTTCAGTTACACATTACTGAAGCTGTGTGCCCAGCATTAAGTGAACCAGGTAAGTGAAGGGACATGTGGACTTTTTGTGTCTTACATGGCTGTATATATGTGATATGGGATTAATGCCTTGTATATGATCAGGACTACGTGCTCTTCTCCGCTTTATGACGGGTATTTATGTCTGCCTAAACCGAGGAGATGTTGATTTCAAGGCTCAACAGGTTCTGAATTTCCCTTTTTTTTATGAGAAAACAAATTATTGTTACTTTGTTATGGGGTAAAATGAGCAGATACATAAAGATAAAATTCGAAATGAGCATAGATGAGAAAAAGTGGACGTAACATCTATTGAGAGAAAAATGATAGAAAATCGTTTAAGATAGTTTGGATTTATAAAAAGAAGACTGCGGGAAGCACTAGTGAGGAGAGTAGAATGGATAATTTTGAGCGTTGTTAAGAGGGGCAGAGAAATGCCAAAGAGAATAGTCACGAAAGTTGTTGACTGAGGCCTCTTAGTTAACAACATTCCTAAAAACTTGATAAATGTAAAGTACAATGGCGTTGTGCAATTCATGTAGCCGACTTCACCTAGTAGGGATTGTTGTTTTGTTATGGTGTGAAAGGAAAGTCCTTCCATCCCTTGCTTTATCTGAGTCTATCTGTTATTGGATATTGACAGCTGTCCACAGAAGCAGCTGGGCGCTCTCTTGTCTCTATTGTTGTGGACCACATATTTTTTTGCATTAAAGATACTGGTTTGTCTTCAGCCCTGAATGCTTGATCTTAATATTGATTTAACATGCCCTTCAATATTTACTAGGGCTTATAATTTATGTACATACTCATCAAGCAAATTTATCAAACAATTGATATTTACTTGCAGAATTCAAGCTTGAGCTTTTGATGCAGTCTCTCTTCTTTTCTCGGGTAATTTTCCATGATGAAGTTCAAATGTTGTTCTTTTTTAGATCACCTTATCATCTTTCACTGGCTCTCCTTTTCTTGAGTGATTGTTCATGTTACTATTCCCTTAAAGGCCAATGGGTTTTTTTCTTTTTTTGGGATAATGCAGTAGGCAACCTTCCCTCTCTCATTTGGGCTTATGTGGTTCAGTTACATATCGCTATAAGTGATGAATAATTCAGAATTAGATAAAGAATATGATTGTCATTCATGTAATACATTTATAAGTTCTAGGTAAAATTGACATGGTAAGTTTATTTCCTTAATCATACTTAAAATTTTCATTGAGATGCTCTTTCCATAGGATATTTATGTTATGGGTTTGTGTGTTCTGCTTTTGCTGATAAAAGTGTCAGACACCATTGACAGATATGCACTGTCCTTTCGCTTAAATGCATGGCCATGTTGTTTGTTCCTTTTCTGAGCCACGCAGTTAACAATTTGCTTTAGAAGTGGAAGTCATTTGTTTTGATGCCCTTATTGCAGGCTTGCATTTCTGATGATGATGATGACTATAACTTAACACGTATTACAATTTCTGGACTATTTCTGAGGTTGGCATTTTATGCACCTTTTTTTTTTTGGGCACCCGTCTTATGCACCTGTCTGAATAACAATAATTGTAAGGATTATGGGTCAAAATGTTCATTTGTTTGTAGGCCATAGTGGAAAATAGGAACCAACAAACCTGAAAATATTGAAATGGACAAGGAGAATGGGAAAAAATATGGATTTCTTTCATTATAAAGTATTAGTAATATTCCCTACTTGACTATTTTGATACTTCTTAATGGCAAACTTGACAAATGGTAGCATACAATTTTTGAAGTTTATTGTAAATGTTACGATATGACTGAATTGTGGTTTTTGTTTCCTGGAAATTGGAATGCAGGGATACCTTCTCAAACCATCCATGTACCTTGGTGCAGCCGTCAATGCACACTTTGACAAGAGAAGCTCTCCATGTGCCAGAATTTGGTATTTAGTTATTAACACATTCTTATGAAGACTCAATTCTAGCAATGCCTGCACAATTATTTATTTTACCAAGGTTTTTTCAATCGTTTCTTATGGCAGCTAGGAGCTTTTGTCCCCCTATATATCCATTAGGTGAACAGAAGTGGCAACTAATTGAAGGTACCCCTCTAATATGCCTTCATTCCCTACAGATCAAGCCTTCTCCCCTTCCACCAGCCTTTGCTTCTCAAACTGTTATCCACTGTCAGCCTCTGATGGTATTTGAAGTTCTCTCAATAAATGGCCTGTTATTGTCTCTATTTTAAATTATTGTTTTCAATTATTTTCTCTGATGAATGATGATCTTTTTATACTTTTCAGATTCATCTCCAAGAAGAATCCTGCTTGAGGATTTTTTCTTTCTTAGCTGATGGCATTGTTGTCAATCCTGGTGATGTTTTGCCAGATTTCTCAGTAAATTCTCTCATTTTCACACTTAAGGGACTAGATCTTACAATTCCTTTGGACGAGACCAAAATAAATATTCCTGAAAGCAACTTGGAGAGTTCAGTCCCGAGCTTCTTTTCTGGAGCAAGGCTTCATATTGAAAGCCTTTTGTTTTCAGATTCACCCTCTTTGAAACTAAGAATGCTGAACCTGGAGAAGGATCCTGCTTGTTTCTGTCTTTGGGAAGATCAACCAATTGATGCTAGCATCAAGAAGTGGACTGCTAGAGCATCACATCTTTCTTTGTCTCTTGAAACATGTAAAGGAGAAACTGGGTCTCAGAATTCTCTTGGATGGAGTGCAGGATTATGGAGATGTGTTGAACTGAAAGATGCTTGCATTGAAGTAGCTATGGCAATGGCTGATGGCACTCCATTGTTAGAAGTTCCTCCACCAGGGGGTATTGTAAGGGTTGGAGTTGCATGTGAACAATTTTTATCCAACACTTCTGTTGAACAGCTATATTTTGTTCTTTATCTCTATGCTTATTTTGGGAGCGTTGGTGAGAAAATTGCAAAAGCTGGGAAAAGTAAACGACTGATGGATGCCAGGGAGAAATATTCTAGTAGAAAGTTTATGGACAAGGTTCCCAGTGATACTGCTGTAAGTTTAGCAGTGAAAGACCTCCAACTTCGATTTCTGGGGTCTTCTTTAATGAATGTTGAGGAAATGCCTCTTGTGCAGTTTGTTGGAGATGATCTGTTCATTAGTGCCACTCATAGAACCCTTGGTGGTGCTGTTGTTGTTTCATCTGCTTTACGTTGGCAGAGTGTTAAGATCGATTGTGCAGATGCCGAACCTCACCTGGCACATGAAAACGGCTCAATTTTGAATTTTGTTGAGAGTATTCCCCCAATGAGTGGTAACGGATATCCTCAATTAAGAGCTGTATTTTGGATTAATAACAATAGGAACAATCTATCAAATGGAAATTCTCTCTCATTTCCTTTTCTGGATATACGCATGGAGCATGTCATTCCATTAAATGAACAAGACATGGAGTCTCATAGCTTGAATGTCTCTGCTTCTATTTCTGGTGTTCGCCTTGGGGGAGGAATGAATTATACAGAAGCCCTGCTGCATCGCTTTGGGATACTTGCACCTGATGGTAGCCCGGGATTGGGACTTTGCAAAGGACTAGAGAACTTACAATCAGGACCATTGTCAAAACTCTTTAAGACAGCACCTCTGGTCATTGATAATTCAGGAGATGGTATGAAACACTGCTGAATTTGTAGTTGGTTGTGTTTACTTGGTACATAATAGTTTTTTTCCCTGTTCATCTTCATTAAATATTTATTTGTTTCTTTTACTTGTAATTTTCTTCTCATTATTACTTTGGTTTTCTCCAGATGGAAGTGCTATTGAAGGGAAAGAATCCAACTTTTTACAGTTGAAGAAGCCAGATGATGTGGATGTTGCTGTAGAATTGAGAGATTGGTTATTCGCTCTTGAAGGGGCTCAAGAGATGGCTGAAAGTTGGTGGTTCTCCGGCCATGAAGATGTAGGCAGAGTGGAGAGGTGTTGGCACACTACTTTCAACAGTCTACGAGTACATGCAAAAAGCAGCCCAAAGGATGTTTCTAATGGAAAAACTCAATTGAAAGGAATGCAACAATTTCCAGTACAGCTGATTACGGTAAGGGAAAAGTTCTTTCTGCTCCGGATTGGGGTTATGGATTCCCCATACTGCTTTCAGGAATGAAGTTAGATTATAGTATACTTTAGTGTCTCATATTGGTTGAAGTTGAAAACTTAAAATTGAGGAGCTAGAAGATTGAAATGAAGATAAGCATTAGGAAATCACACAGTTTTTGAATGAAATGAAGATAATCACACAGTTTTACTAAAATTAGAACAAAAAGAATCATTATATCTATCACATAAATTTTGATTCTCTAATTACTTGAACTAAAATAATTCATTGTCAGAGGTATCAAACTTTCTGCCAAAAGGTCCACATCTTTTGTTCTGACTGTGGCATAAGCTCTTCATAAAATGTCATAGGGTTACATGGTTGAAGTTGAATAGTTTTCTATGTTGTCTTATTTTAGTTCTTTTTCTTTTTATTTTTTGCCCCTTTGAAATTCTCCTGTCTTGCTCCGCTTAATCCATTCGGTTTCTTTTTCCTCTTTAGTTATTATGAAATCTCTTTTTCTTTTTCTTGGATTTACAAGTTGGCTATTATATATGGTGAGATTTGCATACACCGCAACATTATATCATCTTTGCCAGACATTGTCCAATATGAAAGAATTAAATGGTCAAGCATTTATTTCATATCCTCAAATAGGTTTTGCCCTTTGTGATTAGCACCTGTCTTGGTTTTATGATGTCCTTCTTTTGATGAGGATCTTTGGGCAAGATATAAAAGAGGATCAGTCTAAGTTACTCTTGTAGTCTGGTCAGCTTTTTTATTTTAATTTGAACGTGTTCTATCATGTTGGTTGTGCATTCCACAGCCTAGCATGAGGCTGAAATGCTTCCCTTTTGAGTTAATGTATATATCCTGATGTCTGTACATATTAATCTAGTATCACCTCAACCCAAATGTATATGCTCTTAAGAGAATGAAGGCAGCGAGGAACCTTGACCACTTGGTTATAAAAGCTCCGATACAATCTCAATCCCTAGAATCATTTCATCCCAAAAAGATTATATGAAGATTTAGGACTGATCAAATTACTAATTATAACAAAAATGTATATTGAACAAAACACTGCATCTTATATGCTAGGCAACGGAAAGTAAATATGGGTTATTCTGGTGACATACTTTTGCCTTACTGTTGATTGATTTAAGCTTCTTTTTTAAATTCATTTTTGTCATTAAGGCATACTTGGTCCAACCGTGTGCTTATTGTGACTGAGCTTGCAGGTTAGAGTTCAAGGACTGGAGATCTTCAAGCCCCATACAAGAAAGGACATTCCCTCGTCCATGTTAATTGCCAATGGGATTAAACAGCCCTCCGACACAGTTGGGGGAGCTGGTCTTGAAGTTCGCTTGGTACTATGTGAGGACAATGTTGATGATGAAATGACTAACTGGAAAGTGGAAAACGTAAAATTCTCTGTTCACCAACCGGTAATAGGATTGTGATATTTCAAGTACATGGCCACTGTGTCCCTGTTTTTTTGTGCCCCCAATTGAGATTTTGTTTGATAAAGAATTTGTAATGCAGATTGAGGTGGTCGTAACGAAGGATGAGTTTCAGCACCTTGCTTTTCTGTGCAAATCTGAAATTGACTCAATGGGCCGGATAACAGCTGGGATTCTACGGCTCCTTAAGTTGGAAGGTTCTGTTGGCCAGTCTGCAATGGATCAATTAAGCAACCTAGGTATGCTGTCAAACATTAATATATAATTATTGTTTTTTAGGAACAAATTCTTACTCTCTAAGTTCCGATGAACATTTTGTTTCACTTTGGCTTGTTTCTTCTGTCCATCTTTAATGTGATGACTTGCAGGAACTGAAGGCATTGACAAGATTTTCTCTCGTGAAAAGCTCCAGAGAGATGGTAGCGCCCAATCTCCATCAACCCTCATCGGTGAAAGTCCACACAGATCAAAGAAACGAACATTAAATTTGCTGGAGGAAGCAGTCATGGATTCACAGGCGAAACTTAATGCTTTAATTGCTGAAGCTTCAGAGACTTCCACTCAGCACCTTCTTGTTGTGAACGAAGTCCGTCAAAAGATTGAGACTATGCAGAATCTATTGGTGCAGTTGCGGAATCAACTTTAGGACAATCATTCCATTTTCATAGGTTATAATTCTTTTGTATATAGCATACGAGTCCATGCTGAGTGTTGTGCAAGTTAGGCTGAGATTAAGTTCGTCATCAGTGTAACATAAAAATTTTGTTAACTAAGCATCGTAGGATGGAGGAATTTGTGATATTAAGTTTTGGACTGTTGTTCCCTTTTATTTTGGCACTGTCGAATTACATAACATTCTAGATTTTTTGTCATGAGCAGTCACAATGAGATTTTAATCTTGTGACAATATTCGGGGCGAAGGCCACACAACAACGTTTTCCTAAATTTGAAGTGTTCTACTTCTCATGATGTAACCGTCAAATCTTGAAACCAAATAGAGGAAATATTTGTTTCGGACCAAAAATAGCAGCTAGGGATTTTTTGCATGGAGGGCGCTATGACCTCATTAAAGATTATTTAGAACGCATCATGGTTAAAGCTGCCCCTCCCCACCCCCTCCCCCCGGGGGAAAAAAAGGAAGGGAAGAAAGAAAAAAGAATGCATGGTTGTTGTTGTTGTTGTTATTATTATTATTATTATGTAATAGATATATATCTCATTTTTACACCAAACAGGTGTTCCTATAAAAGAGAAGTCTTCTTGTAGCACATTCCAAATTATTGCCTTAAAATTCATTGTTAGAAATTCAAAAATGAGGAAAAAATGATTTTAAAATCATGAACTATTTTATCCTACATGGGAATCACTTTAATGATTTGGAACTCCCTATATTTTCTACATCAATGCAAGTCAACAATATTTCTCTCCTTTCACTGTCACAAAAATATTTCTCTTCAAAATTGAAATCTAACTGAAAGGTACTCCTCAATATTTCTCATGCTATAATAGCATGATTAAAAATACCCCTCAAACACTTAACGAGATTTGAATCTAACTAAAAGAATTAGTCTCTCAACTTGAAGAATTAAAGTTTGAATTTTCACCAAGAGATACTCATATTTAATACTTAATTGTGCTACGAACAAGATTACATCCAATAAGAAGAAATTGTGTAACAATTTAACAGAGAGAATGAGGCAAAGACAAAAGAAGAAAAAGATGGGACAAGAGGAGTAAAGGACAAGACTTAAAAAGGATGATTGAGATTTGAAATAATTAAGGTCCAGACATAACGGCAAAATACATTGATTCAATTTTTCCATATGCAATCTGCTGCTCCATCCATTGGTGATCAATATTAACAAGGAGGTATGTAGAGACATGTTTAACATGATGCCAACATCCCGGTAACCATCTGACTCTATCCTGATATCACTCAAGTCACAGGTTAGGTTACACCATAAACTCAATCAGTTTTGCAATCTGACATAAAACTAAACAAGCATTAATCTATGCAAAAGTAAACCATGTTCCTCTTGTCGATGACTAGTTATAACAAATCTTCAAATTGGAGCTCTTTCGGAGCTCACAAGATCGAATCGCATAAAAACCAGCTAGGTTATGGAATTCGTAACAGCATCCCAACGCCATATGGTCCCGTCCTCACAGCAGCTCAAAATAGTGCTACAGCATAACAGGATGGCTTTTCGATTAAAAATGAAACTATCGAACCAAAATTTTGAGTATGTGGGTGTCTGTCAACGAATATTGAACAAAAATCGTGTCAATGTGCGTGTGTGTGAAAGTTTACCTTCCGTCATAAGACATAGCAGTTTGTCTAATAGGCGATTTTGATTGAGCATGAGACAACCTAAAAGGAAGTGAAACAAAATAAATTTTGTTAAGAAGATTTATCAAGGAAGAAGGCAATTTAAAAGCTTAAACTGTTAAGTAAGGCCTGTGAACGGTTTTATTATGATCACACGTCCCCTCATTTGAAAGTCGTTTTGGCTTGTGCAAAAAGCATCGTCTCACAACTCGTGTTGAAACTTAATTTTAGACGGTGATGTGTAAAAAGATTCTAACCATTGACCACTTCTATAAAGGTTCTACTTTCCAATTCAAATATACTCCCTCTGATCCAAAATGTAAGCATTTTCCTTTTGCTAATCTTGATTCAAAATATATACAACTTAATACATGTTTTTTTTTTTCATTTTACTCATTGTATTTATTAACCTAAATTTTTGTGTAAAGTTATCTTTCACTTGTCATGAAATGCATTAGTAATTGAAATTAAGGGTAAAAAAAGAAAACAACATATATTTTTATGAGAATAAGGACTTTATTGGTATGTGAATTTTTCTTAAAAATTGTTTACATTTTGGAGCGGAAGGAGTAATCTATAATAAGATTCAGTAAATTAAGCCTAATTGAATGAATTGAAACAAACCTCGCAACAAGAACAGGAGGGCTTGACTGCAATTCCCAAACAAAAATCTTCCCTTCCCTGTTCCCTGATACACAAAATGGAGGAAGTACCTTCATATAAAATTCCAGTAAAGCTTGAAGCTAAAAGCTTGCCAACCAAGGGGGGAAACGGTTAGAAGTGATGTAATTAATCCATCACGAGCAAAGTACAACATAAAAATAGTTCCATGGAAAGAAATTATACATAACAGAAATCGCAATTGACTATGTAACTCTTACCAATTGCAGCTGCATTGTAATGGAAATCACAAGAAAACTTGATGAACCATATATCACATTCAGGAACTGGGTACTTCTGAAGGATGTCAGCTACGCCCTAGCCAAGATTTTAAAAAACAAAAAGAAAATTGATTCAAAAACAGAATTATGTACCCTGAACTTTACAAAAACTGATACAAAAATTAATCTCAACAATGCAGAAGAGAATTATTCAAACCTCCCCTGGAGTCTGTTCCTTCACTTTGGGTTCCCACAAGACAATTTCGTTGTCAACACTCTGGAAACATTACAATCCATCACTTCAGGAATTAACCAAAAAAATTACAAATACTAGGAAATTATGAAATACCAACTGTGATAAACCAGTGTTCAAGCAATTAAAACCCTCATTCTCCAGGACAAAAACCATAGCACTTATAAATACAAAGTTGTCACTCATTTTAAATCCTTCACTTTTATAAGAGAAGTAGCCAAAGGCTGGTGAAGTTGCATTAATTCATCTAGAACATAGTTCCTCCACACAGCCAATCACACTCAAATTCTTTCTGTTAATATATATACTGACACTTAAAAGAGCAAACTCTCACCTTTGAGAGGATAAAATCACCAAGCCACCTATTACAGTCAACATAATTTGTATGAACCGAAGCAATAAACACCTGAAATTAAATACAGTTATAATAAATTCTGATATTTAACACACGATTAAATATATATATATATATTTTGGTAACATGAGTAAATTTTTACTTACAGGAAACTGAACATATTTTGTGGGGAACTTAGAAGGAAGATCTGTCCATGTAAATGATTTCTCTACATACGTCCAGAATTCTACAGTACCATAAAGGACACAACATGATGGAAAAACAACATATTGGTATCTCATGATCTCAATAATGCAGCATCATAAAATTTATGATAAAGGTCATGCCACACCGAAGTTACATCATAAACAAGCATTATTAAATTACTAGATAATTAGGCAGAGGTAGTCATACTCAGAGTTGCAAGAGGCAAAAACCATCCAACATATTTTATGTCAGAAAAAATAGGTGTTCTTGCTCTTTTCCAGAATAATTTGTTCATTAGGCTTCCCTTGTTTAGAAATATCATATTTTCCACTACAATTGTACCATGCAGTGCAACATGGGCCAAAGAGAAAAGTTTAAAAAAACTAATAAATTATATAATTAAAATAATACCTTTCATAGACCAAATCTTCACAGTATTGTCCATGCCACAACTAGCAATTCGATATATGTCTGACGGATGAAAGTCCTACAACGACCAATATTGTCAGCATTGGTAACATCTAAAATCCTTAGCAACACACCCTTTGCACAATATACTTACTACACTCAGAACTTCATTGCGATGACCCCCAGCTCCAGCAAATATCAAAATACATATTCCCGTATGAACATTCCATAATCGAACAGACTCATCCTGATCAATTTTTGACATCATTATAAGAAAAGAAAAATAATACTTAAATCTATAAAATGAAGAAAGGCATTCTATTTACTTTGCTAGCAGACACTACAAGTGATGGCTTCAATGGTTGAGTTCTGATTTCATTTATGGAATCCCCATGGCCTACAAAACTCTGTAAGGATAACACTATCATGTCAAGAGAAAGTGAAAATATAACATATTTTCAACAATAATTAATGAATAAGAATCTTTCAAAATATTTACCACGCTAGAAATCCTTTAATTTTTTTTTTTAAATCAGAAGACTGTAAGGAAAAACTCTCAACAAACATCCTAAATGGAAAATGAAAATCTTATAATAATCTGGTTCCTCTGCTTCAAGTACTCAGACCAAAGTCTATTGAGTTCAGTCAACTATAGTAAGAACAGGAGTAATCGTAGAATGTCTTACAATACCTTGTGTATCTTCTCACTGCCAGCATCAATTACTCGGATTATACCGTTGAATCCCCCAGCGACTACATATGGGGTCCCATCAATGTTACATGCCCAGCTAACAGTGTAAAAAGACTCATCCTTCTGGTCTACAAAACAAATTAAAATTGCATCAATCTTCCACAAAAGTTATTAAACTGGAAGTAGAAGAAGACAGAAGACGGAAATCTTCACTTACATCTTCATCAACATATGATTGCAAAACAGCTATAACTCCTCCTTCAAGACATTGATAAACAGTAACCTAATTGAATGAAAAAGGAAGATTATTAAAATTTTAATCAACATATTTAAAACAAATCAGATAATAAAGTGCCAGTTTGTATACTAATAGGGAATGTAAGCAGAATGTAAACAGCAAAGCACCACTATTGAAGAGACAGCATCTGAAGAGCCGAACTCTAATCAATTTCACCTGCTTTCACTTAGAAATGCATGTCACATCTTTAACATGCAATAAAAACGTATGCATAGTTATTGATAATGAAACATTTCTTTAGAATCCTCCCTCCAGCGCCCCCCCCCCCCAAAAAAAAAGCTACCTACATCACCAGCACAATCAATCAATCATCAATCCAAGCCATCCTCAAGCACCACACGCTGTTTGTCCATCTTCCCTTCAATTAAGAGATGACTGCACCATAGCTAAGGGCAAAATCCATGACTAGAATTGACTGAGCGATTCTACATTGAAGACTAGATGCCACTACAGAGACAGATAGATGAGAAAGAGGAAATCCCACAGCTACAATTCAGCTGACTTAGAGTTGTCAATGAATTGCAGGGTTTAGACGAAAACTAAAATTCAATAAAGGTCAATAAATCCATCCACCTCATACTACTAATGCTAACCAAAGCCAATATAGACATCAAACGAGAGCAATATGCAGAAAGAAGCTGAAAGATTCAAATTTTGGGGGAAACCCCACAGACAATCAATCACGTTTTCTTAACATTTTCTCCGAAACCAAACAGAAAAAGAGCCCAAACCCTATTGCCACCGACGGTAGCAAAAACGTTGAAGTAGCGAGAGTCAATGAAGTTGAAAACGACGGCGTACAACGGGCGCTTGCCCTCTTGGAGGCGATTCGTAACCTTGTAGTCCCTCTTCCTCGTAGATGTTAAGGAACCTACGACAGGTTCACAACCCAAAGCAACTGGAACAGGCTTGGACATTGCCCCGAGACTCTACAGCGACAATTCTATACCCAAACTTTCCAAGTAGAGTCAGAAACCCTCCTGCACACGAATGCTCTCAAATGGGTTTATTGCTCAAAGGCGCCGATTTGGTAAATTGAATCTAAGCCTTCACCTTCATCTAACGGATGTCATCATATAAATGTAACAATAAACATGGTGAGAACACCTTTATTTAACTTGACTCCTTATCTTTCCCAATTTATAAAATTATATTATATTATATTTATAAAAAAAATTAATATTTAAAAATATAAAAATTTTATAAAAATAAAATTTTGTTAGTTATGTTTTTTAAATATAATTTTTCTTATCATAGTATCTTTTTAATATTTTTATTATAAAGTATTAAATAAAATATATTTTCAAAAGTTTATATTTTTATTCTTAAAAAATAAGATTTGTAAAATATATTTAATAAATTATATTGACATGATTTTACAATTGCAAATTGGGATAGATGGAGTATTTGATATTTTTTAAAATTATCATTGTCATTACTACATTATAAGAAAAATCATGATATTGTGAATTCAGTAAAAAAAAAAAAAAAATCAACGTGTGTACGAAATTAGTGTTTGGCATGAATTACACATTTTACTTGTCTCGGTTCATTGATTTTTTAAAATTATTATCTGGTATTTATTATTATAAACTAATTAAATTGTAAATATTATTGATCTATAAAAATTAACTACCAATTGAGGTTTTTTTTTTATCATGCGTAAGTATCTTTTTATTGAAATATAATCATGTGTAAAGTACATGAGATATTAAATGTAGATATTTTTTATAATAAGATTTAAATCGTAATTCATTAAATGCGTAAAGATACAATGAGGTGCTTATTATAATTGATCAAGAAGGTTGAATCAACTTATTTTTTAAATTTAAAATCATTTCAAAAATACTTATAGATAGTTAAATAAATATATCAAAATAAGATACAGAGAATTTCAATATCGCTGAAATTCTTTACTTTCAAAATAATCTTTTGGTCACATTCAAGCTCTATTTTATATGCATTTAGATATGTTAAGACTTAAGACCCAGAAAAAATTTGTAGAGAAGCTTTACGTGTGTAGTCGTGCAAGACCACTGAACTCCGACTACCAGCATATGCAAATACCTCAGCTTTGGATCTAAGATGGTGGCCACATAGCTTACGTAAAGAATTAAGAATGTGATTGTGATGCAGAGGCCATGGAAGGATTAGATTTGTAAAGAACTTTTGCTCTCAAGCTTGGAAGAAAGTTTCAGTATAGAATTTTTGCCAAAAATTCACAGGCTTTTTTCTGGAAATACATATTCAACCACGGAACACTCCGATTTTACCAAATATCCATCAATGAATCAATCCGAATCCATAGGCCAAAACGTGGATCAAATACCCAATATAAATTGTTTTCAAAAGCAAGCAAATTCTGTTTCCTTTGATATGATCCTTCGCCAATCAGAGCGTCTCGGGATCCAATCGGAAGGCTTCTTCCATGGCCCTCACAATAGACAGAAGATCCCCTGCAATTAGGTAACTGGTGCCAACATCGTTCTCCCTCTCTTTCTCGCAGATCACGAATCTACATATCGGACACTGACCTTGGCTTCTCAGCCATGGCATTATACAATCCTCGTGAAACATGTGTTTGCACGGCGTCACCATTACCTCCTGTTTGGGCACGAAATCCTCCAGGCACACCGCGCAACTCTTTCTGTCTTCGTTCTTTTGCTTGTTCTCCATCTCCTTCAAAGCATTCACACCTTTATTGTCTCTGTAGTAGAAGCTCAATTTCTTTGCTAGCATCTTTGAAGTTGGAATATTGGGCTCGTAGATTTCTTTCCTGAGCTTGCTCAAGGCTCTACATCTGGGATTTTCTGGTGCCGTTGGAGCTTGTGCGTTTGATTGGCGTGTGGATCTTCGAGGCGGGACTGATGCCTGGTGAGTTTCTCTGAGCCTGCGGTTGAATCCCCTTCCTGTATCTCCATTGAGAATGTCCGGTTGTGCTGGAAAACTGCAAATTGCTTCAAGATTAGTTAATCAATCTGGGCTTGTTTCCCGTCCAACTTCAAATTCACAAGTTCATGCAGCTAAATAACATATAATGTGAAATTTGGAACTAGTGAAGTCGTCTATAGGAAGAATGAACAATGTAAATTTAACCTGTCTTCCAGAAACTGAAGATGATTCACTACATTTGATGTCCTTTCATCCTGAAAATACCGACAAAAATACAAATATCTGAACGTCTACAACAATGATAGCTTAACTTTTTGAAACTATGAACATCGTTTAGCAAGACTTGCTTTTAGCCTTTTATCATTGCTGAATGCAAGTTTCTTGGTGCCTTAATAAATCTTTGGACTATGGATAATTGTCTCAACTCGGCATCAACTAACTGGGGCAAATATTATCTTGAAAGAACATTGTGTATTGAGGAACAGATAATGGAAGGAAAAAACATGAATTGTTTATTGAAGACGAAACAAGCCAACAACTCTGAGTCGTACCTAACTTTATATAGACTTAACCAACTCTATGATTAATAACTAGCTTTTTATAACCAACACACGAACCTCAACAGTGTGATATTCAAATGTTTCAAACTCTAAATTTCTGACTAATTCTTTAACAGTGCACTTCTCAACATTTGAAGTTCAAAGCCAAGGAAAAAGATTGTACTTACAGGAGTGGCATGTCTAGAAGAAGATCGATAGAGCACTGGCACTCATAAGAGTCACTGGAGTAGAAAAATCATAAATTCAATGGTCTAAACGCTGTACAAATTGAATAGTAATTGACACAAGCAACTGCATTTCTCTATGTTATCCACTATCCAGCACAAGCGTACTATTTCTATAAAATACGAAACAGATTAGTAACATATTTCTCCTCTAATACAAGATGATACTATTTGGTATGTACAGTTTCTACTTAATTAAGAGAAGAAAATTCATGCTCTAGTAATCCCATACTTAATGAACTTGTGAGTTAGTGAAATCTAGCCTTACTCAGAAATGCTGTACGGTCCTGCATGCCTTCTATCTGCTCGATGCCATGAAGGATTCTGTGGACCTGGTGTCGTCTGAACCTGGTACAAATATCTTAGCTTTAGAACAATGATAGTTCAACTTTCTGAAGCTATGAACATGATTCAACAGGAATTCTTTTATAACTGCCGAATGTAAGTTACGGTTCTTAAACAAATCTTATGCGTCATGGAAATTGCATCTTAACCTAGCAGCGGTCAGTGGGGCAAATACTACCTCAACACTTAGTACCAAGAAAAGGGGGAAAAAGTACCAAGACAAGAGAGAATACTATACTTACAGGAGTGGCATGTCTCGAAGAAGCTTGGTAGAACACTGGCACCTCGTAAGAGTCACTTCTGGAGAAAAATTCAAAACTAGTGCTATAAATACAGAAAATTTGATAACTATTTATGCATGCATGTATATTTATCTGAATACTCAATGTTATTAATTATCTTATGACTAGATTACCCCAAAACTCCATCTTCTTTCACTAACAAGCATTTGCAGATTTTTCATAACAAGTATACCATTTTCTTCTTACATGTAAAGGGGTCCATTTTGTTCTATCGAGTAAATACTTAATTAAAGTGATCCTTTCTCTAATGATCTCATTCGCTTTTTGTACTTTTTTTGTTCTTCTTTATTTTAAGGTAAAAATCTCATGCTATTGAGTTTGCAAGTTTGTGGAATCTGGGGCTTTACTCAGGTATGCTGTAGAGCCCTGCTTGCCTTCTATCTGCCATATACCACAAAGGATTCAATGGACTTGGTGTCATCTGACGCTGTTAATAACGAAAATACCAACATATCAGCGTCTAGCTACAACCATGATAATTCAACATCCTGATACTATGAACATGATTTAACAAGACACTGCTTTTAAATTGCGGAATGTAAATTTCTTTGCCTCAACCTAGCAGCAATTAGTGGGACAAATATCACTTCAAAGCAGTCTGGTACTACACACATCTCACTGTCCAAATTTCTGAATAATCTTTTGTAGTTCAGAGTTTCCCTCGACACTTGAGTATCAAGACAGGAAAGATGTTACTTACCGGAGTGGTACGCGTAGAAGGAGATTGGGAGGAAGCAGGCACCTCGAAAGAGTCCCTGTTGGTGGGAATGTGATAACCAGAGAATCTAACACCAGTTCGCCAAGAGCCAGATGATGGAGCAGAATTATTGTTGTTGCTGCTCATTATTTCACTTTCCTCCTCTTGAGCAACTAAATGTTTTTCTTACAGTGGATGTAACTATGGCTTTGTGTTTTCAACTTTGGGGTTTCATGGCTTTGTTTATTATTTCTGCTTTCGTCAAGAAGACATATATTTGATATTTGTCATGACTTTCTAGCCTCTTGATGTGTTGTTCTGATGCAAAGTGTGATTCTTCATCCATTTTCAAGATGCTGTCTCAGCTGGTGGGTGGCAGCTACTACAGAGAGATGCAAATGCAAGCCAAGGAAATGACGAAGGAATCACATTCTTGGAGTGTAGATGGATTCCTCAACTTTACCCTTTTTTGTGAATAATGCTGCTTGCCAAAAATCCACGTTCACAACTTCTCACAACTGAACAGATGGCTTCTTCTGAGTTGAACGGAACAGTTTTTGTACCTATCAAGTCCAGCTGCATCAGAAGTTGTATGCGTGTGCCATGAATTTGCACGGTTACAAACACATCAGCTGCGGAAAATGGTTCTTTTTTTTCTTTCTTTGTTTTTGTTTTTGTTTTTTTTTTTTTTTTTTGTGTTGGAGGGGAATCCAAGTGTTCGCGGGCGTAGAAAGTCAACAAGGATGAAGAGAAGGGAAAATAACGATATTGAATGAAAGGTTTGTCCCTTGTTAAGGTCTGTCTACTTGTGTTAGAATATAAAATACGGAATGAAAATAAATAAATAACATACGGTCAACTCAAACGTAAAGGCTCGTCTTTCGTATTCCTAATTCATATGAGCAAATCAAGTTGAAAGAAATCTAGCTACCTTGTGTGTGTGAATTCACTAAAAATTATGTCGATATTCTTAAATAAAGTTAACCAGGCAATAGTTATAATCAAATATCAAATAATATAATAATAATAATATGATAAATCTTATTTATTTCACTCTTTTTTTCCCACAAATATTCTTATATTGAAGACAATCCTGTTTTGAAATATTGTCAAATATTAAATATGATAAACCTTGATTCATTTCATTATAAAGAATTAGTTTTTTTTAATAGATTTTATTCTCGTTGGTTTTATTTCACTCTTTTAAAGTCATGAGTAAGAGTCAGGCTTGTGGGGCTGGCATGTTTTCCTCAAATGTTTTACAAGGTTAGACTTTTAACTTGATGAATCGTTTTAAAAATTGAAAAAAAAAAAACTCTTTTTGATTTAGGCTCATGGGCTTTTATACTTTAGCTTGCAAGCCCCCCTCTTTGGTTTTTTTTTCCCAGTTGATTTAGGGTAATCCAAGTGGAAACATGTTCTGTAATTTACATGGATTGATTTTTTGGGTTTTTTTGTTCCCAGTTGATTTAGGGTAATCCAAGTTGAAACATGTTCTGTAATTTACATGGATTAATTTTTTGGGAGCAAACCATTCCAAACACGCTTTTGCTCTTTTTTTTTTTTTTTCCTAATCGAAAATTGCCCCTTAAAAGCAAAAATATGTTCTGTACTCCATAACGTGGCCTTAAACTTTTTTATTTTATTTTTTTTTGTAATGAAGTAAAAGTTGCCAGCCACCACAACAATGGCTTCTAAGGAGTTGTAAAATTAGAAGTTTTAATTTTGAACTATTCCTATTCTTATTTCGTTCAAATTTTGAGGTTTTTACGTATATTAGAATAGCAGGAATGATAACATCATAATGATCATTTTTAAATTTACAATTTGAATTTTTTCTTTGCTGTAGATGATGATGATAAAGATAACTAAAAGTTAAATTTAAATAATCTAATTTAAAATATCTGCATTGGGTCAGAAGTTTTAATTTACCCTTAGAAAAATTAAATTATTTTTCATTTACTAATTTTATGTTTAAAAAAATTATATGTGGGTTTATCAGCTCGACCGTAAATCCTTATAATGAGAGCTGAGCTTTGTGAATAGCATCTCACATGAAAACTATGGTTTGCAAGCTCAAGTTTAATCGACTCATTCCTTAACTCTATTTTTCGGGCAAGCAAACAATGAATGTAATTTTCAGGTTCAGAAATTTTATCTTCCCATTCTTCATTTCTTCTTGATATTTCAACGAAACTAATTAATCTATGGAACTTATATTGTGCAAGAGTCTGAGCTAAATTTTACTTTTCATAATTCATGAATATGATTTGTATAAATTATTCGCGTGTATACTTATATGTTGATTATTAATATACTCATACATGGCACATCCCAACACTAAAATCAAAAATTAATTAAATTAACAACAAGAAGGGGATCTATGAAGACACTGATCCACATCAGAAGATATCTCTGCACTGGCCATGTCGACATGATGAGGAACAGTGAAAGGTTTAGATTTTAGAATTAGCTGAACCTTATAATTCCAAACTTGAGTAATCAATTCCTTGCCAAGCTTAAACTAATATATGCCAAGCATGCACATTCTCTTCCAATCTTTCTTTCTTAAAATCCCTTTCATTTGCATAGCAAACCAGCCTCCGTGAAGGGGATAAGCCGATGAGCCTTAACTCTGAAGGAGCCAAGTAAATTTCTGGTAACAGAAGAGTGACCTCCAAGTATTTAAAATGAAGTAAAAACCTACTCCATCATGTTTGGACCCATCATTAAATGCAATCTACCATTATTTTAAACGTATATTCAACGATATCTACCTTCAAGCTTGCTATATATACATATATCAACGTATATTCAAGCAATCTGCCATTCTCCAATCTCTATCTAACACCCTCGAGTGATGAGAGACCAAATACTGAGTCTGACTGTCGGGATATGCATGTGAGGGTGAATAATGTATGCAGTGTGGGGTTGTGATATATATATATATATATATATATATGAGCCCCCGTGGATTTCTCTTTTTGTGTGTTGTGCATTTTCCACGAGTAGAATGTTATGTTCTAAAATTGGTCAATTAATGCAAATATTGGAATTCTGGTTGCTAAACAAGTGTCAGTAACGAACTAACGATTACAACCAAAATATTCTGAGTGAACAATGTATTGCTTAACAGGGGAAAAAATCAGATAAAGAGAGGGCAAAATGATAATTAAGGACCCCATAAGAACATTAATTCTAATTAAGGACCATAAAATATTAAAATTTCAAGTAAGGACTATGGTCTTTAATTGAAATAAAAAACATACCTAACTTTACAGAATTGCCCTTCACTAAACACTAAAAGATATCAACTAATGCTTGTGTTCTCTGTTCGTTTCAGGCGGAAAAAATCTGCTCTCATGTGCGGGAAAAATCTAAACAAAAAATTAGTCTTTGGTAGAGTGGATCATCAGCTGGGTCATCATCTTCTTCCCCTCTTGATGATAGGTAATTATAATCATTGCTTCTTTTTCATCTTCTTCCCTCTTTTGTGTGAAAAATATGAAGTTTTACAATTTTTCTCTTCTCTATCTTTTATATCTTCTCTTCTCTCTTAAGCGAAAGACAATTTTTATATTTTTATAAATGATATTTTATATCATTTTTCTTCTATAGCTAAAAAAAAAAGAGATCTTGTTGATGATTATATATACATACACATAATAAATGATTTTTGACACAGATAGTGTTGAAAAAAAATTAAGGAAAAAAAGACAGATATAACGTGGATGTTGTTTTTTCTGCTATGATGAAAAGTACATCGATATTAAAAAATATAACATGGATGCTGAATTATTGTAGTTATAGTTGGGATTATGAGAATGATAATTGTGAAGCAAGACACAAATAGTGTTGAAAAAATTGAGTAGAAAAAAAAGAAAAATGTAGTGTGGATATTGATTTTTTTTTCTGTTCTGTGATGAAAATTATGCCAATGTTAAAAAATGTAATATGGATACTGAATTGTTATAGATACAGTTGGGATTACAAGAAGAATATGTGTGAATTAATAAATTCATATATTGCTCTTAGTTGTTTCAGGTTTATTTGCTATATGATAAGTACTTTAGCAAAAGAAGTATTAACCTGTGGGTAATTGTAAATGCAAGATGGAAGATTTCTTATCATGGTCACCGCTAGAATCTTACTCTAGGCAAGAGCTTAAAGGTATATCACCTTCTTTATCGTGTTCAACACAAAATTCTCTTGCACTACTCTATGAGGTTAATTAAGTAAAATGGAAGGATTTATTTATAGGTGTTGGGCAAACATTTGACGATGCAACTGTATTTACAAAAGCATCTGTGCACAAGAAAAATTTATAGCTTCACAATAATTTCGATGGAAACCATTGATATGCCTTAGTTGATCGAGCTACATTATGAAAATTATGAAAATAATACCTTTTTGAAACCACCACTGACTGCACGTCCCCTAAGGTAACCACATACCAAGTGAAGACAGTCATGGTTTCAAAACAAGAAGGTGTATCATTGCTCAAGATATAATCAGACTGGACATATCAAGAATAGATATGGGGATTGAAAGGGGGTGAAAATCATATGCATATTAATTGATTTGAAATTGAAATGCATCTGGTTTTATTTATTTAATGTGTTTTGCTGTTGAATGACTTTTTGTACAAACATCCATACTATATTTTTTGTACTTATGGTGGTGACAAGTAATGTAAATAAGTTTGCAGTTTACATTATGTTTTGGGAAGCAAACTGCACAAGTACCATTTAGGTAGATGAGATATTTTGTATATAAAAAAGAATGCAAATATGGTGAATATGTATTGAAATTAGTATAATATAATGCTGATATCTATTTCAAGTTTATTACGTGCAAGTGTGATTGCTGTAATAATATAAGACTACTGAAATTACTAACGTAGAATGAAAAATTATTACTGTAACTTGAAAAAACATAGATCTCACTTAGAAATAGATTTTTCCCCAATATCAGAGAAACTTTTGAGATGTTACAAGGTTATTTATAAATATGTTAACTTAGCATGAGAATATTGTATCTTGTGAAAATATGAAACCTTACTTGGGAGTAAATTGTTTCCTACAATTTCAGAAACTAAGTTTTGAAAAGTTTCAATACAACTTATGAATATACTAAAGTGGCTTAGTAATTCACTAACATTAGTCAAGATAATTCACCAATGACTTGTCAAATTTTATGCTTGTCAATGTATAATCAACTCCATTTAAAATTCACTAACATGGCATGAGAAAATTGTACCTTGTAAAAATATGAAACCCCATTTGAGATATGATTGTTAAACAAAAAATGACTTGTCCACATTAAGATTCACAAATATGATTTGAAAATTCGCTAACATGACTTGAAAATTCACCAAGGTTAATCAAAATAATTCACTAATGACTTGTCCAATTTATTGTAAATTTAGGAAAAAAAATACTTATGATTAATTGTTGGTGTATCATATACATTAAGCCATAGAAAATACATAAGTACGTAAAGTTTTAATTTATATCATACATATAACCAAAACATAATTTATGAAAGTCTATATCATAGTTGTCTAATCTATGCATTCAATCTTTTTGGTCTTCCATGCCTGGCATTTAAAATAGATGTCATCACTTATGAGGTTACTCAATTATGTGAATGAGTCACCAACCAATAAAATGGTTCAAACCTCATTTTACTCAATTATTCCTACACAATTAGAGCAAGTCAATTAATCGAGGCATGGTATGATTGCATCATTCCTTTTGCGCAATATTGTTGCATTAGCCGAAGTAAATGATGACATACATGCCACAATCAACTCTACATAAAAATTTTTTAAGATAAAATATGTTAATAATTTACTACTTCACAACTATCGTTCCTGTAATCTCAACTATAACTACAGCAATTCAACACTATATTACATTTTTCAACATTGACATACTTTTCATCAAGAAACAAAAAAAAAAACATCCACATTACATCTTTTTTTTCACTCAATTTTTTTCAACATTATTTGTCTCAGAAAATCATGTATTGTATATATATATATATATATCAATATAATCATCAATAAGATCTTTTTTTTCTTTGCTATAGAAGAGAAACGATGTAAAATATGATTTACAAAGATGCAAAAATTATCTTTTACCCAAGAGAGAAGAGAATACATAAAAGATAGAGAAGAAAAAAACTGTAAAACTTCATATTTTTCATGCAGAAGAGGGAAGAAGATGAAAAAGAAGCAATGATTATAATTACCTATCACCAAGAGAGGAGGAAGATGATGATCAACTCCACCGAAGACTATGACTTTTTGCTCGGAATTTTTGCACACATGAGAGCAGATTTTTCACGTCCAAAATAAATAAAAAGTACAAACATGAGCTGATATCTTCTAATGTTTAGTGAAGGGCAATTCTATAAAGTTAGGTGTATTTTTTATTTCAATTAAAGACCAAAGATTAATATCCTTAAGAGATTCTTAATTGTCATTTTTCTCAAGGAGAGTGCCAATAGGAGGACGCAGACAAAGAAAGAGCCACAATGATTCATTAATATATATTCCCTCACCGGTCCCTCAATTTCCATCTGTTCCATCCTTGTCAGCCCCTTTGTCCGCCTCAGCTGCCAGCTTATTGCTCACACCATCATCGTAAGGGGTCATCACATAGAAAAGCTATCATCAATCTCCTCTTGATTAACACAATGGATTATTAGAAGTGTGTCATATTTTGAGATCCTGTTCAAGCACAAGTTAATTAAGGCATCATTATATTTTTGGAATTGTCCTTATCAATCGAGTTTATACTCAAATCATAAAAGTGATTCCAGCCAAATCCATAAACTTAAATATAATCTCATATTAATTGGGAGGAATAGAAGAAATTAAACTAATTGCGAAAGCATAATTAAATATGTCCAGTCAAAAGATGCCAAAGAATTTCATGGGTTAATGAATTGGCACTGGCTCTTCCCGATTATAAATATCGGAAATTTCTTTATAGTTTTCTCGAAGGGATGAAAGAACCAATTTCTTATTATGCCCAACCCAGAGGTCATGATTTCTATTTATAAACTTAAGTTTGTGATATTTATAATTTGATCTTTCAACAAATTATAAATATTACCCACATCTCATACATTAATTTAAATAGATTATTTTATTTAAATTTAATTATAATAATCGCCAATTGGCCACACCTTTTTTATATCTGCCATGTGTTGAATTTTATTACAACAATCATGACACCTATATATATTTATCATTCCGTCTCCTCAGTTACAAGACCCAAACCCGCCATTCCCGTCAGAACTGAAAGACGCCATGGAAGAACCTCGCATGCACATAGCAATGTATCCCTGGCTAGCTATTGGTCACATGACCCCATATATTCAACTCGCAAACAAGTTAGCCAGAAGAGGACACAGAATCTCCATCTTCATCCCCCCAAGAACACACTCCAAATTACAGCATCTGAACCTTCATCCTCAACTCATCACCTTCGTCCCCATCACTCTATCTCACGTTGAAGGTCTTCCTCAAGGTGCAGAAACAACGGCTGACGTGGATCGATCCCGCAGCTCCCTTCTCATGGTTGCTGCAGATCGTACCGAGAAACAAGTCGAGCACCTCTTGGTTCAGTTAAAACCCAACATTGTTTTCTTCGACATGATACATTGGCTGCCAGATCTGGCTCGACGACTGGGAATCAAATCGGTTCAGTACTGGGTTAATGGTTTAGTAGTAACAGCTTATGACAAATCCACAGAAACACAGAATCCACCTTTTCCTGATTTGTCAATTAGGCTTCACATGCATGAAGAGAAACTCTTTGAGAGAATCAGGGAAATGGAGTTTGGAAATGGTGTTCGCTTCGTTGATCGACATGAATGGGGCGCACGTTCTTCAGACGCTGTTGCGTACAAGAATTGTAGAGAAATGGAGGGTCCTTTTGCAGACTATCTAGAAAAAGTGTGGGGGAAACCCGTTTTGCTGTCAGGACCTGTTATACCAGAGCCACAGACCTCCTCTTTGGAGCCAGAATGGGATCACTGGCTTGGAGGATTCAAGCATGGTTCTGTTGTTTACTGTGCCTTTGGAAGCGAATGCATCTTAGAGCTTAGTCAGTTCCAGGAATTGTTGCTGGGTCTCGAGCTATCAGGTATGCCACCCATTTTAGTCTTATATGGAACAAGAAGATTATATAAATATATATATATATATATATATATGTAGAGGAGGATTTGAATCCTTGATCTCTGTCAACATCCCCTTCTATTCTTGCCACTTGAGCTAGGCTCAAGTAACTCAACAAGATAACATCAATTATTTAGGACAAATATATATACATGCAATTTTTAATATTATTCTACAAATGACGAGTTTTTTTATTTAAATGAGGATGTAAGAAATTTAAAAAAATTTACTAAATATGCTTTGTTACTTTCATTACTTATTAAGTGATTCAACTTCCCTTCAACTAACCCATCCATAAATTTATCGTTTTCTCATCACATTGAAACCCCAACTTTAAACTCTGGTATAGGGATGCCATTTTTGGTAGCAGTGAAACCTCCAAAAGGATGTGAGTCAGTAGAAGCAGCTCTTCCAGAGGGATTTGAAGTAAGGGTCAGAGGAAGAGGGATAGTCCATGGAGGCTGGGTTCAGCAACAGCTAATATTGGAACACCCATCTGTTGGATGCTTCATCACTCACTGTGGTGCTGGCTCTATGTTAGAAGCACTTCTCAGTCAATGTCAGCTAGTGTTATTACCCACCGCTCTTCTTGATCAGATCTTCAATGCAAGAATGATCAGCCAAAGCTTCAGAGCTGGTGTTGAAGTGAAGAAAGGAGAAGAAGATGGGCTCTTCACAAAAGAGAGTGTCTGTGAAGCAGTGAGGGCTGTGATGAATGAAGAGAATGAGATTGCTAAAGAGGTCAAAGAAAATCATGCTAAACTCAGAAATATCTTGCTCAGCACCAACTTTGACTCTAATTATATTGATAATTTTTGTCACCAGCTTCAAGATCTGCTCAAATCATGATCCATGTTCAAGTGGGAAAGCTAGCTGCTAAATGCCAAGCGTATGCATGTTTGTGTACTGGAAGGAGGCACAAACTAGTCAGTTACCATAATAACGTGAGAAGGTGTTTGGTTTAGATTTTCATTGTCTCCCTGAAATAAAATTGTTTAAGTGAAACCTTGTGGTCTAATTTGTTTGGTTGATTATATATGTATTTTATCAGCACTCTTCATTTAAATGTTGTAATTCGTGTTATTGAAGGGATGAGATGGAGGCTTTCTGCGGTTGGTTAATTTGTAGCTGAATACATGTATTTAGATGTTGTAATTTAAGTTGTGTTATTGAAGGGATGAGATGGAGACTCTCCGCGTCCTCTTTTAATTAATTAAAATGGTGCAATTAAGAATCAAAATTTTAAGATTTGGTTAGAATTGTTATGAAAAACTTGTCGAGATCAAAGTGATATTTTTAATTTGATTAAAATATTTAATATGTTTAGAAATATAGGGTCCTAATTAATAATGCAATATCTATCTTGGAACTCAGTTCTCTCTTTTATATTAGAGGAAGTCAGAAAACCATTAAAATTTTTTTTGGATATAATCAATCTAAAAGAATTAAGTTTGTGGAATTTCATAACTTTCACTTAATTGTTATAAATTGAAATATAGTAAGATTTTAGGATTAGCCACCCGATGCATGTCCAGGTGATAAAAATAGGGTGAGCGGGTAGGGTCAAAAGTTTAAACCCTCTCGATTTATTTAAAAAGAAAAGAAATAGGGAATTTCACTGTTCTTATTTCTATAAATTGATATGAAAATATGTTGATCTTTAGGGATTTAGTGGCAAACATTATATTTCACTGTGCCTGAGACTTCGAAAATTAGAGACTTTAACTTCAGCAGATTTTGGATACATGTGGGAGCTGATGAGTTGATGAACCTTATAAATTCTAAGGAGATGGATAAGTAATTTCTGGTGACAAAAGAGTGACCACCAAGCATTTAAAATGAATTTAAATTCAAACCTACTAGATCACGTCCGTCTGGAGCAATATTCAATGCAACCTACCGTTACAAACCTATATTCAAGCTTGCCCTCAACCTATATTCAAACAATCTACTGTTCTAATTTCCAACTGATCTTATCTAACTTGTTTATAGTTTTTCTCAACAAAAAAAAAATTAATGTTTAAAAGCAACCTCATTGGGTTTATATTTTAGTTGCTGTTATCTTATTGACTGAGATTATTAACGCTTCAAATTAATAGAGTACATGCGGCATTTTGAAAATTCATGGTAATAATATAAATTTTCCTACAAAAAGAGTAAAACAGAAACAAATATGATAAAATTAACACAAACAAATCCTTCTTCCTTTCAAGCCGCATCGCTACACAGTGGGTTTATATGCAAGGAAACAAAAAAAAAAATAACGGACAGGTTATTATTTTGACAGGCCAAAAGTATTTGATTGATTATTATTTTTGCTCCTTTTGGTTTCAATCTGGACGTCTTATGTTTAAGAAAAAGAAAGGATCAAATACTTAATCTAAATCATCTGCATATAATCAAATAGTTCAAATAAAAAGTGAATCGGAAGTGGAGATCTAGAGACCTAGGGGTTTGTAGTTTCGGTGAAACCAAACACATAAATTTTAATATAATTCCAAAATAAATCTAAACAAAGACGCAAGAGAAAAACATGTCCACCAAACATGAAAACAAAGACCCTTTTGTCATGAGAAATTAAATACTAATTTTATAGGATTGAGTTTAATAAAAGAAACTAGTCCCTTACAATATGATAACAAACCAAGGTTCAAATCCTTGCTGATAAAGACACCTATATTTGTTCGACTATACTTTGAATAAGATTATCTTTAATAAAAAGATAAGCAATTAAACAAAACATAAGAAGAAGAAGGAACCATATATTGAGTTTAATCGTTTGTGGAGTAGACAATGATGCAATAGAATGCGTGTGAGGGTAATTAAGCAATGCACGTGTGTTATAAATGAGCACCAGCGAATTTCTCTTTAATTTGTCATGTACTTCTCGCTCAATTCGTAGGAATGGGAGAATTTGTTTTGATTCTATTAATTGAAGGGTACATCAATCCCCCTAACCATGTTAATCTTTTTTTTATCCGTATTAAATACTAAAAACCAGATTATTGAATGTGAAGTATTTTATTTTTAAAGTACATATATTAAGGAGATAGTGTTAGAAGCTTAATAAATTTTTAAATAATATTTTTTTATTTCAATAAAATATGTTAAAAGTTATTTATAAATAAAATGAGTAGGGAGGGAGTATGTGTGTATATATGATAAAGATTTGCATTCCTTCCCAGCCCAGGCCACACGAAATCCAAACCAGCGATTCTCGGAAACTAAAGACGCCATGGAAGAACCTCAGATGCACATAGCCATGTATCCCTGGGTAGCTCTTGGACACATAACCCCATATATTCAACTCGCAAACAAGCTAGCCAAAAGAGGACACAGGATCTCCATCTTCATTCCCACAAGAACACATTCCAAATTACAGCACCTGAATCTTTACCCTCACCTCATCACCTTCGTCCCCATCACTCTTCCTCACGTTGAAGGCCTTCCTCTTGATGCAGAAACAACCTCTGAAGTAGATCGATCTCTGCAACCCATTCTTATGACTGCTATGGATCGCACTGAGAAACAAGTCGAGCATCTCTTGGTTCAGCTAAAACCCCACATTGTTTTCTTCGACATGACACACTGGCTGCCAGATCTGGCTCGACGACTGGGAATCAAATCGGTTCAGTACTGGGTCACTGGTTTAGTAGTAACAGCTTATGACAAGTCCACTGAAACCCAGAATCCACCTTTTCCTGATTCGTCCATCAGACTTCACATTCATGAGGAGAAAATCTTTGAGAGAATCAGGGAAATGGAGTTTGGGAGTGGTGTTGGCTTCGTTGATCGACATGAATGGGGCTCACGTTCGTCAGACGCAGTGGCGTACAAGAATTGTAGAGAAATGGAGGGTCCTTTTGCGGAGTATCTAGAAAAAGTGTGGGGCAAACGCGTTTTGTTGTCAGGACCTGTAATACCAGAGCCACAGACCTCCACTTTGGAGCCAAAATGGGATCACTGGCTTCGAGGATTCAAGCATGGTTCTGTCATTTACTCTGCATTTGGAAACGAATGCATATTAGAGCTTAGTCAGTTCCAAGAATTGTTGCTGGGTCTTGAGCTATCAGGTATATACATGCCACCCTTTTTAATCTTGTGGAGGGTAACACACACCCCCCCCCCCGGCCCTATGCTTGCTACGAACAAGATAATATCAATTATTAGACATATATATATATATATCATGCAATTTTTAATACTCTACAAATGATGAGTTTATGATTATTTAATTGAGATCAAAGAAGTAACTTGGTTCACTCCATCAAAGTTTCTTAGTATATTTTTTGAAAGTTATTTTTCAGAAGGTAATTGATGTACATGAGTTGGTTATTTTAATTTAATTTTTTTATATTTTTCAAGAAGTTAAAATTATTTTTTTACTAAATATATATTAGTCTTAATATATAGGACATAAAAGTCCATTTGTTAACTATGAACAAAAAAATTTGGCAAAGATAAAAATTAAAAAAAAACATGTTAAAATCAGGTTCGAGAAAACAATATTTTCCCATTGTTTTATTCAATATAAGTTGCTTCTCTGGCAATCAGGGGCTTAGGGAAATTGTCAACCCAACCTTTTGTGAAGTTATAATATTTAAAATAAATTAAACTGAGTAGCAGAATATAACTTCACAGCTTTTATTACTTATTGAGAGATTTAACTTCCCTTCAACCATCCCATCCATAAATTTACTGTTTTGTCATCTCATATTGAAACCCCAACTTTAAACTCTGCTACAGGGATGCCATTTTTGGTAGCAGTGAAGCCTCCAAAAGGATATGAGTCAATAGAAGCAGCTCTTCCAGAGGGCTTTGAAGAAAGAGTCAGAGGAAGAGGGATAGTCCATGGAGGCTGGGTTCAGCAACAGCTAATATTGAAACACCCATCTGTGGGTTGTTTCATTACTCACTGTGGTACTAGCTCTATCTTAGAAGCACTGCTCAGCCAATGTCAGCTGGTGTTATTACCCACCACTCTTATTGATCAAATCTTCAATGCAAGAATGATGAGTCAAAACTTCAGAGCTGGTGTTGAAGTGAAGAAAGGAGAAGAAGATGGGCTCTTCACACAAGAGAGTGTCTGTGAAGCAGTGAGCGCTGTGATGAATGAAGAGAATGAGATTGCCAAAGAGGTCAAAGCAAATCATGCTAAACTCAGAAGCATCTTGCTCAGCACCAACTTTGAGTCCGGTTATATTGATAATTTTTGTCACCAGCTTCAAGATTTACTCAAATCATGATTCATATTAAAGTGGTGGGAAAGCTAGAAGGATGCACAGATTAGTCACAATAATAAAGTGAAGGTGTTTGGTTTTTTTGGTTGTCTCCTGGAAATAAAATTGTTTAGGTGGAACCTTCTTGTTTTTTGGTTAATTACATTTATCCCTACCAGCACTCTTGTTTTACTTGTTCTTTCATTTAAACTCGCAAAACACAACATTAAAGTTCATGCGGGAATTAATCCCAAGTACATCAATTGAGAACGATCGATGTCCCTATAATGCATGAGGGACGTGAGTGAAACAATGAGAACCTTTAGTGGAGACACTAGAACGAGAGCTAGCTGGTTCATTGTGCTCACGTGCTACTGATCGATCTAAAGCAGATTTCCCAAGAATTGGATTTCCATGGAAGAATCTCCAGGGCGTGATCGATGAGTTGTTGGTGGTGGAAAATTCTACAAAATGAACAATTTTCCATAAGGCAAGACTTATATACTTACTTTTATATACTTAATATATTTTAATATATAAATTTTAACATGCTGATAATATTAATAATAAAAATTTATTATAGAATAAATAATTTATAACAGATACGCATGTCTTAATTTATTTGAGAACAAATACTTTAAATATATAATGTTAAATATATAAGTTTTTTTCTTTTCTATATCCTTACATCCAAGCAATAAGTAGCATAATCAAATACCAAATTTTTCTATAAATTATACGTTTGCGCATTGCTATATTGATTGATCATAACACATCTCAAATGCTAAGAAAATAGATATGCAGCAAAATTAAAAGTCATAATTTGGCTATATCACCAGTGAGAATAGGGTGGAGACATATATTTTGTGGATACAGAAACCTGCATGAAAAATTGAAATCAT